GACATACACCGGTATTGCGGTATTTTAAAAATTCATATCATAACAAAAATAAACACCGGTATTCGGTATGAACCGGTATACCGCCCAGCACTAATTCACACTATAGATTTTTGAAACCCAGCCAAGAGGAATATTATAAAATAGTAATACATCAATTATTATTATTATTGTGTTTTTTGATCATTTTCCCTGTAGAGTTTTGAAACCCAGCCAAGGGAAATATTATATAGGCTAATAGCAATCAAAATCAACTGTGCTATAAGAGGAGCCGTTTGCTTGGTTTTTCTAAATAATCCATTCACAATTTGAAGAAACGTTTTGTTTGTCTAAGAGGATCAAACGTCCACGTATACAGTTTCAGGAATGACAAATGATTATGTTCAATAGCAATATATTTCTGTCCTATATGTTGTTTAAGTGACATACACCGGTATTGCGGTATTTTAAAAATTCATATCATAACAAAAATAAACACCGGTATTCGGTATGAACCGGTATACCGCCCAGCACTAATTCACACTATAGATTTTTGAAACCCAGCCAAGAGGAATATTATAAAATAGTAATACATCAATTATTATTATTATTGTGTTTTTTGATCATTTTCCCTGTAGAGTTTTGAAACCCAGCCAAGGGAAATATTATATAGGCTAATAGCAATCAAAATCAACTGTGCTATAAGAGGAGCCGTTTGCTTGGTTTTTCTACATAATCCATTCACAATTTGAAGAAACGTTTTGTTTGTCTAAGAGGATCAAACGTCCACGTATACAGTTTCAGGAATGACAAATGATTATATTCAATAGCAATATATTGCTGTCCTATATCCTTCATGCATCATTTTAAGATGGTCTGATTAAACACACAGGCCTTTTAAAATATTTCCATATAAATACATTAAGCAGGTCATCTCTTAAACTGCATTATTAAATGAAATTGCATAATGCACCTGTAATCACCCCAAATATTTACCATTATGTTAACATTTTGGGTGAGTGTGACGCTTTTAATATCAATAGAACAGGAACAAATATGAACATTCAGCCACAGTAGCACTAACCTGTGGCTCCTCTAACACTAGCCATCGTTCTGTGACAGTCTGGTGGTCCTGCCCACCCAGCGGCTCTCTGAGACGCACCCTCACCTCCAGACGACCACCTGTGGCCTTCCGCCCATCCATGAGCTGCATACAGAAATGAAGCCAATGCCATAAACATACATCTCATACACAAATGTAAACACAGTGATGTCTGACTAATGGGTGTGAATGTCCGATTTTAGCTCAAGCTCATCTGTTAAACACAAATATGTTTGCATTCTCAGCTGATGTTTGCCCTCTCGTCTCTGGCTCCGACACACATACTATTGAAAAGTAGCCCCACTCACCTCCACTATCTCTCTCACTTCGCTTTCAGTTTCCAGTTTCTCCAGTTTGAGCAGGGCTGTTCCTATCGGCTTGTCGCTTCTCAGGAAGCCACTGTCACAAAACAAAGACGTCAGTGTGAAGCTCAGATCCACCTACTCACATTGACCCAGCATGCACCGCAACTGCCACAGAGTTCAATCAGGGCAGCACTGGTTGATATTTATCCTGACCTGTGTGTCTCCCCAGTACAAATGAATCTTAAAGAAACTGTGTACTGTTAGGAGACAATAAACAGAATAAAGTCCTAAAATTGTGATTATTTGGAGATAAGTTGAGATCACGCTTGTGTCCCACAGCAACACTACTCACCCTTTGTGCAGCACTTCCAGCTTCAGGCCTTTAGACTGTATAACTCTCCTGAAGCCACGGTGGTTCCGGTTGATGTTCAGTTTGAAGCTCTGGTTATACTCTGCCAAAACACTAAATAAGTCAATTCCTTCAGCAGCAAATGTTAACTTTTAACTTTTTCCAATGCTCTCTAAAATACTTGATTCTAGTTCTGTCATTCATGGTGTCCTGCAGTCAAATATTTTTTGTAAGATGTTCACTAAACTGTATATTTGTCCCAGCTAACTGATTTCCTACATAACTGTCCTATATCCTTCATGCATCATTTTAAGATGGTCTGATTAAACACACAGGCCTTTTAAAATATTTCCATATAAATACATTAAGCAGGTCATCTCTTAAACTGCATTATTAAATGAAATTGCATAATGCACCTGTAATCACCCCAAATATTTACCATTATGTTAACATTTTGGGTGAGTGTGACGCTTTTAATATCAATAGAACAGGAACAAATATGAACATTCAGCCACAGTAGCACTAACCTGTGGCTCCTCTAACACTAGCCATCGTTCTGTGACAGTCTGGTGGTCCTGCCCACCCAGCGGCTCTCTGAGACGCACCCTCACCTCCAGACGACCACCTGTGGCCTTCCGCCCATCCATGAGCTGCATACAGAAATGAAGCCAATGCCATAAACATACATCTCATACACAAATGTAAACACAGTGATGTCTGACTAATGGGTGTGAATGTCCGATTTTAGCTCAAGCTCATCTGTTAAACACAAATATGTTTGCATTCTCAGCTGATGTTTGCCCTCTCGTCTCTGGCTCCGACACACATACTATTGAAAAGTAGCCCCACTCACCTCCACTATCTCTCTCACTTCGCTTTCAGTTTCCAGTTTCTCCAGTTTGAGCAGGGCTGTTCCTATCGGCTTGTCGCTTCTCAGGAAGCCACTGTCACAAAACAAAGACGTCAGTGTGAAGCTCAGATCCACCTACTCACATTGACCCAGCATGCACCGCAACTGCCACAGAGTTCAATCAGGGCAGCACTGGTTGATATTTATCCTGACCTGTGTGTCTCCCCAGTACAAATGAATCTTAAAGAAACTGTGTACTGTTAGGAGACAATAAACAGAATAAAGTCCTAAAATTGTGATTATTTGGAGATAAGTTGAGATCACGCTTGTGTCCCACAGCAACACTACTCACCCTTTGTGCAGCACTTCCAGCTTCAGGCCTTTAGACTGTATAACTCTCCTGAAGCCACGGTGGTTCCGGTTGATGTTCAGTTTGAAGCTCTGGTTATACTCTGCCAAAACACTAAATAAGTCAATTCCTTCAGCAGCAAATGTTAACTTTTAACTTTTTCCAATGCTCTCTAAAATACTTGATTCTAGTTCTGTCATTCATGGTGTCCTGCAGTCAAATATTTTTTGTAAGATGTTCACTAAACTGTATATTTGTCCCAGCTAACTGATTTCCTACATAATTGTGCTATTTTCATGTCTCTCCTAACACTAACACACTTCACCATCTCACATAATAAAATACTCCCAATTTGAATCAAAAAGTTTAAAAGTCTGAGCTCAGTAAGATTAATACTTTTATTTAACATGGATGCATTCAATTGATCAAGAGAGACTGTAAATACATTTATAATGTTAAAAAAAGATTTCTATTTCAAATAGATGCTTTTGAACTTTTTATTCATCAAAGAATCCTGAGAAAATGTATCATGGCTTCCACCAAAATATTAAGCAGCACAACTGTTTTAATCATTGATAATAATAAGAAGAATAATAAGTGTTTCTTGAGCACCAAGTCAGCATTTTAGAATGATTTCTGAATGATCATGTGACACTGAAGACTGGAGTGGTTGCTGAAAATTCAGCTTTGCATCACATGACTAAATTACATTTTAAAATATATTCAAATAGAAAACAGGGTAACACTTTAGAATAGGGAACACTTATTCACTATTAACAATGACTTTTCCCTCAATAAATTCCTAATTTGAAGCTTGTTAATAGTTAGTAAGGTAGTTGTTAAGTTTAGGTATTGGGTAGGATTAAGGATGTAAAATAAGGTCATGTCGAATAAGGCATTAAGATGTGCTTAATTAGTACTAATAAATGGCTAATATTCTAGTAATATGCATGCTAATAAGCAACTAGTTAAGAGACCCTAAAATAAAGTGTTACCGAAAACAGTTATTTTAAATTGTAATAATTCCTGCATTCCTGCAGGTCATGGGTTCGATTCTCAGGGAATACATGAACTGATAACATGTATACCTTGAATGCAATGTAAGTTGCTTTGGATAAAAGCGCCTGCTAAATGCATATGCATATAATGATATTTCACAACATTACTGTTTTTACTGTAGTTTTGATCAAATAAATGGACCCCTGGTGAATATTAGAGTCTTCTTTCAAAAACATTTAAAAATCTTATTAATATATGTATATGTATAATTAAAGTATCTGATGATACAGAAATAATTAGCTCAACATTTTTACCTGGGTTGTTGGTATTTTTGATGACTGATGTTTTATGCTTCTGAGGTTGATCCTAACATGAAAAGAGAAAGTAATAATTAAAATCAAATGGATGACTGGGTAAAATAAAGCCTAGATGACTGAAGAATTAATACTCACTGTACTGGGGTATGGGAAATCAAACTTGACATAGGCATCCAAGTCATTTGTTGCAACACCTTTCAAAAAAAGCAGAGGGGGAGATGTTTAAAAGACTTCCTTACTAGTATGAGATAATTTTAAATTACATTATTTTATTTACATTTAAGTTCCTGTAGCTCAAACTCCAAATGCTTTCATTTAAATGACTGGATCAATGTTGAGTGTTTGTTTGAAGCTTACCCGAGGGAGCAGGAAGGTTCATCCCTCTAACAATGAACACAACCATGTCTGTGCTACTGAGCTCTGGGAAAATCCTACAAGAGCAAAAGTCAAGAAAAAGAAAGCATGTTATTCAATGACTTACATTTCCCTTGGCTGTGGAGTTGATCAGTAGTGAAGTATTGTGCTTTATTGTATTGGGCTTTTCCTTGTTGTAAGATCTGTAGCGAGAGTGTCAGACCTGACAGTGCGATATGTTCTCTCCTCAAAGTGATGTTTAGGAGGCTGAAGCCCCCTGTTCTGTGCCAGCTTAAGAATCTCCAGGCTCTTCTTACATTGTTCTGCCATGTTCTCAAATCTAAAAGAGGGGAAATAGGAATAAATGAAATGGCCAGTGAAATCACTTGAATTTCATTTATTGAAGTGGTGTATTGGTGATGCGATACATACTTGGTTGTTTCTGCAACATTCCCCATGTGCGTGAACTGCTTGGAGTATGTCACACATTTCTGAAGAAGAAAGGAAACATGTCCTACTTACATATTCCACATCCGCTTATAGGTTCTGTCTCAAAACCTAGTCATCTGCCTACTTAGACAGCATTTTAAGCATGTGGGTGATTTCATGAGCAAGATAGGCTGTCTGCTCGCCCAAGTGTAAAACTGTGTTGTTGCTGCCAGGTCTTGATTATCGAAAAATCACATTGGGTCATTCCGTGTCAACTCAACCAAAGGTCCCCGGCTCAAATTTTTGATTTTGCTAATATTTTTTCCGAAGAAAGATAAACATGTACAGTGATGAAAGCCAAAATATTAAATGTCATGGATGAATATTTACTGAGTAATCCACTATTTTGTAGAGGGGGGTCAAAATGGCAATTTTCACCTGAGATTCCGAGCCAAATTACAGGGGGTTAAAAATGACTTCAGAAAGATGGCAGCATCATGATGTTATTTTTACACAGAGATTGTTAGATCTGTTAGTAAAATCTGTTGACTTTAGCAATCTTTGTTGCATTTATGTGCTGATGGTGACCATTCAAAAATGGGGAAAGAGCACTTTTCAAGTTTTTTCTCCAAAGTTTGCTGGCTTGTAACTCAAAAAGCATTAAAGATATCTTAATGCCCTTTTAGATATTGGGTCTTAACTACCTTCAGTTTTGGCATCTTAATTTTTAAGGCCCTATATAATTCAGTTCCAGAGATACTGTCAAACTTTGCAAAATCACTTCAGAAATACATAAAAAATATGGTACTTCTTTTCTTTTAAATAGGAATGTCTGAAGAACAAATAATGTTGAAACTAGAAATGTATCTTTGGTTTTCAACCACTGAAAATGGGTAATATTGGAACATCTGAAAATGGAGCCTCATTGAGACCCCCATATCTCTGGGACTGAACGATGTAGGGCCTTGAAAATGAAGATTCCAAAAGAAAAGTTTATTACGAACTAGAATCTAAAAATCACATTGCAATATCTTTAATACTTCTTGAGTTATAGACACGCAAACGTTGGAAAAATAATATTTATGGCACTCAGACGGATATGATCAATGCAGTTGTTTTGACAGAAAGAAAAGAGGTACATTTCTAGTTCCAACATTATTAGTTCTTCAGACATTCCTCTTTTAAAGAAAAAAGTATCATAGTTTTGCAAAGTGACCCACATTTGGTTTTTGACCACTGAAAATGTATACAATTTAACAATATACTTCTGGAGCCATATTGAAATTCTATAATCTCTGGAACTGAACTATATAGGGCCTTACAAATGAAGATGCCAAAAGGGAAGTCAGTTAAAACCCAATATCTAAAAGGGCATTAAGATATCTTTAATGCTTTTTGAGTTACAGGCCAGCAAACTTTGGAGAAAAAACTTGAAAAGTGCTCTTTCCCCATTTTTGAATGGACACCATTGGCAAAAATATTAGCAAAATCAAAAATTTGAGCGGGGGACCTCTGGTTGAGTTGACACGGAATGACCCCATTGTTTTTGTAGCTAAGCTAACTCAATTAAATCAAATTAAAAACTTTGTAACTGTAAAGAGTCAAGAAATCGATTCCAATGGCTCAGACGGATTTAACACACCTTATTCAGTAACCAAGTTGTTAGAAGAGAGATCCAAGCATGAACTGTGTTCCGATTGATAGGATCCCTACACAGTGTTCATTGCTCCCTATTCTCTGAGCACGGGAAAGCTGTTAAAGTTTACTTCATTTCGGAACATTCATTCGCGGATTTGGGCTATGCCACTGCCTTCAGCGTCTTCATACACAGACGAAACTTACTAGAGAAGTGTAAAGTGTGACATAATATACCTCTGTAAATAAATACAATTTAATGAATAACTAATGTCCACTGCACAGGGCACTTACAGTTGAATAGAACAAACTCCTGAAGTGATAAGAGATACATACAAAATGTGCAGAGTGGGGGGTCAGAAGGACTGGAATTGAGAACCACTGTCCTAAGCTAATGCACAGTACTGTTTAACTACTCTATTGCGTTACGTCACAGGTAAAAAAAAATTTTTACAAAAAAATTACAAATAGTACACAACATACCCAGTTAAAGAAGTCACCGCTCATCACCACTGCTATATACTCATCTACATTAAATAAAAAATTTACTATTTCACCCAATATACATTTTAGGCTTGTTAGAGAATCACACTGTTAGCTTAGCAACATGCTAACATCAAATTCTTATACTGAATAGCATGTGATTCTCATGAGCATGATCTGTGAAATACTGACTATAAATACACTTATAGTGAATATAATTGTACTATTTTACCCAGTGTGTATTTGAATGCTTTATTAAAGTATTGCTATTAGCTTAAAAACATGCTAACAACAAATTCTGTTGGAATCAAAAGTGTAGCACGTGCTCCTTGTGAGCACAATTTGTGAAATACTGACTAAAAATATACTTTTACTGATATACAATTTTACCCAATATGTATTTTTATGCTTATTATAGTATCACACTATTAGCAACATGCTAACGTCATGCTCTATTAAAATCAGCTGTGTAACATGCACTTCTCATGAGCACAATTTATGAAAAACTAACTATAAAATTTACCATTTCACCCAATGTGTATTTTTATGCTTAGCACCGCTAACATCACATTATTAAAATCAGCTATGTAGCATAGAATTTTTGTAAGCACAATTTGTGAAATACTGACTATAAATACAGTTTTATTGATTATAATCGCCAACCCAATACGTATTTTTATGTTTTTTGCTAGAGTATCACAATGTTAGCTGAGCATCATGCTAATGTCAAACTATTGCATTCAAAAATGTAGTATGCTATTTGTGTAGCGTGCACATACAGAGTTCCAATTCAGTGACGTATGAGATTTAATTTCAGATCCATTTCGACGGTAGCTGACTATGTAAACAGTAGACAGCAAGGCGGCTCACTAGGTTTTGGCACAGATCCACTCTCTGTTACTTCATTAAATCACCACCTTCTTGTTACCTCGTATTGCTCTTTGAGTAGATTTGTGAGTTGAGTGTAGACCTCCTCAGCCTTCTCTGAGATCTGAACATCACTGTGATGGACTAGAATGAAGTCCTCGTCCTCATCTCCAGGCGGTGAAGGCACCTGAAAATAAAGGGGGAGTTATTACTCATGTCATTATGGATTTGTTAAAGAATTTGTTAAAAAACAATGACAGTATTACCTTGCTTACGTCCACTGTCTTGCCACTGCGGGCGGCTTCTATCATGGGGTCCAAACTTTTTGCTGCACGCAGGAGGGTCTTGGCCTGCTCTAGGTCATTCTTTTGCTTTGCCTGCAGCGCTGCTTTCATGTACTGCTTTTTGCGGCCTTCCAGAAACTCCAGCTGCTGCTGAGCTGAGGAGAAAATAACCAGATTTAAACCCGTTTGACAGAGATTTTTGTGTGCTCCTTACGTAAATCAGTTACGAAATATGAAAACATCCCAATTAATAGGCCATCCTAAAACACTACTCTACCAGTGTCAGGCAGACTTCCTCTTTTGGACGTTCTGTCTGGGGAAGGTGAAGGGGTTCTCTTGGGCTTCTGTACCGTTGGCTGTACTGCAAGAGTGGGCTTCATTTGGTCGCCTACTTTCGGAGCCTTAACCTAGAAAGCAAATAACAAAATAGTGATTTCTTTAAAAGAAAGGGACAACTTTTTAAATATTTAGGAAATGCTACAAAATTTAAGAACATACCTTCTCCTCTCCCTCTTCATCTTCCTCTTCACCATCATCAGCTTCATCTTCATTAGATGTCAGCTTATTGGCCGTTTCCAGAACTGCAGCCAATCCCTGCTCTGGAGCAGCAGCCTTCTGGCCTGGGATTGGAGGAAAGCCTATAGAAAACACTTCAATTTAATATAAATCCTCATTTTCTTAGCAGGAATTCAAGCAACTCATTAAAAAAAATTAAACATGTTGTCATTCAAAAGTTTGGATGAAATGAATACTTTTATTTAGCAAGGATTGCATTAAATTGATTGAAAGTGACAGTAAAGACATTTATAGTTATGATCTTTCCTAGCCTGTATTCCTTCATTTGTGCCTTCCTGTCACCAGATGGCATTTGTTTGTTTTGTGTTCTCTTTTTTTCTTGTGTGTTTGCAGGGTGGAGTCAAGCGGCAGGTGCAGTGGGTTACCGGTGATGAGTTGACTGATAAAAAGGTCTTTGTTTCCTTTCTGTGCATACTTTATTTTTTATTTTTTTGTCTTTTTCTCTTTCCTTTTGATATTGATCAAATTGATAGTTTAATTCAGTTATGGATTACATTAATAAACATGCATTTTTGGGTTAATTTAATTTGCGGGTGGCCTCCCCATTTACAGTGGTGTGAAAAAGTGTTGGCCCCCTTCCTGGTTTCTTATTTTTTTGCATTCTTGGAACTCTGCCATGCAGACCATTTTTGCACAGTCTCTTTCTTGTGGTGGAGTCATGAACACTGACCTTAACTGAGGCAAGTGAGGCCTGCAGTTCTTTGGATGTTGTTGTGGGGTCTTTTGTGACCTCTTGGATGAGTCGTCGCTGTGCTCTTGGGGTAATTTTGGTCGGCCGGCCACTCCTGGGAAGGTTCTCCACTGTTCCATGTTTTTGCCATTTGTGAATAATGGCTCTCACTGTGGTTGCTGGAGTCCCAAAGCTTTAGAAATGGCTTTATAACCTTTTCCAGACTGATAGATCTCAATTACTTTCTTTCTCATTTGTTTCTGAATTTCTTTGGATCTCGGCATGATGTCTAGCTTTTGAGGATCTTTTGGTCTACTTCACTTTGTCAGGCAGGTCCTATTTAAGAGATTTCTTGATTGCGAACAGGTGTGGCAGTAATCAGGCCTGGGTGTGGCTAGAGAAATTGAACTCAGGTGTGATAAACCACAGTTTTAACAGGGGGGCAAACACTCCTTCACACAGGGCCATGTAGTTTTGTATTTTGTTTTCCCTTAATAATAAAAACCTTCATTTAAAAACTGCATGTTGTGTTTACTTGTGTTATCTTTGACTAATATTTAAATTTGTTTGATGATCTGAAACATTAAAGTGTGACAAACATGCAAAAAAATAAGAAATCAGGAAGGGGGCCAACACTTTTTCACACCACTGTATGTCACGCTGCCTTGCGCCAGGTGGTTTGTAACATAATGCTACAAAAGATTTCTATTTCAGATAATTATGGTTCTTTTGAAATTTCTATTATTGGAATTCTGAAAAAAATTATCACTTGTTTCAATTATAATTTTCAATAGGGATGCACGATATTATCGGACTGATATCGGAATCGGCCGATAACGGCTTTAAATGTAAATACCGCCATTGGCCCGATATGAAAAATTATGCTGATATGTCTTGCCGACAAGAGGAATACGTTAACTCACATGTGCTCAGGGTGTGCCTAGTGATTAGATCGTGTCAGCAGTGTGGCTCATTCTTGAAGCAAAGTTTTTTTCTGAATGATGATTAGATTCACTCTTTTGTATCGCTGCATTTAATCTGAGAATGCACGTACAGAATGAGCATTAGGTGTGTGATAGAGTAAACAATAATAGCACGTGCAGCGGCAGCCTCCCCCAGGTCCTAATGCCCGTTCCGTAAAGAGTTTTAATCTGTAGCGGGCGCTGTTGGCCTACTTCTAATTAAACTAAAAGTAAAATGGCCTACACAAATAACATTTAGACTGTGTTTCTGATTAAATAAAGCAGTAATTGATGTAATAAAATAATGAGTATGTTTTGATTTAAAGGTCAGAAGCTATAGCTTACATATGTTTTGATTTAAATGTCAGAAGCTATAGCTTACATGAAAAAAAATCACAAACATGACACTTGTAAATTAAATCATTTTATATACACTGATTTATTCATTAATGTGTTTTATTTTTTAAACAAAATTCATAAACTCTAAAAGATTTTCAGAATTTTTAAAATTTCTTTGCTTTAGACCATCTACAAATGCTAAATCTTAAAATAAAACGTTAGGGTTAACACTGCATTTTTCTGGGGGGGAAAAAATGCAGCGATTGATATATAGTTTATTTATAGTTATTTTCAAAGCTTCAATGTACTGTCAAAAAACTTCATTTTTGTTTATTTATTTCTAACAAATAAGTTCTTGTTAAAAACTAACCAAAATTAAAAATATTTTGCTTATAATCTCTGCACAGGAGAGACTGTGTGTTGTTTCCAAACAAAAGGAAATATATCGGTATCGGGCAAAATAAGTTGAAAAATATCGGCATATCGGCAAAAATCCGGTATCGTGCATCCCTAATTTTCAATTATTTATTTTCAATGATAATAAAAATGTTTCTTAAGCACCAAATTAGCATATTCAAGTTATTTCTGAAGCATCATGTGACACTGAAGATGGAGTAATTGCTGCTAAAAATTATACTTTGCCATTGCAGGAATAAATTACATTATATAATAAATTAAAATAGAAAACTGTTATTTAAAATTTTAATATTTCGCAAAATTGCAACCTTAACTGTTTTTTAATCAAACAAATGCAGCCTTGGTGAACATAAGAGACTTCTTTCAAAGAACATTTAAAAATGGTACCAAAGTTTTGAATGGTAGTGGACATGTACACAAAAATATATACATGTAAAGATCTTCTTTTTGACTACAGAAGAACCGACCTGGAGGGGCTGGAAGTTCATCAAAATTGATAGGTCGGTCTGCTTTATGGGCACGGATGGCAGCCTGGTATTGCTGTGGGTCACAAAAAGAACATAATCTGAAATCAACAAGTCTGTGCAAACACCTCGCTAAGTGCAAAAATGTGCTGCATTATGTTAAAATGAACTTAAAAGGAGTTCCACAATCAGATAAAATCTAAAAAGGAAACACTGCAAGAGAAACCGAAAGTTTGTGGACATTCAGTGGTGACAATGTGCCATTATTTGAGGTTCAGGTGTCATTTTGACAGGTTTACTAACTTTAGCAATGCGGTCATGCATGCGGGCTTTGCGCTCATCCCCGCTGGCCTTAGCTTGTGTGAAGGTCTCTTTGTACTTGGCCATCCTCTGTTCCAGAGCTTCAAGAACAGTCTGGGGCTGAGCTGGACCAGAACCGCTGTCTGCTGGTATAACGAAAACAAAAAAATTAACACTAGGAGACAGGAAAAGCATTCAAATTCAGGTCACAAGTACAGTAATTAGACTATTAAAAGAGACACATGTTCAGTCTCTGAAAATATTTGACGTGAGAACTGGTGTACTAACCAGGAGCTGAAGGTGAGGTAATGGCTTTTTGAGGTGCAGGGTGAGTAACTGTAGAGGCTGTGGAAAATAATTAAGCCTTACACTATAAAGCTACAAGCCGTGAAAATATGTAAACAAATATGCAACATATCATAGCTACTACAGTATTTTTCTGACCACAGAAAATAATTCCGGTCTAACCTTGAGACAGAGGGGGAGGAATGGAGCTCATGTCCACCGGCTGGCCTTTCTCCAAAGCCTCAATTGCTGCATTGAATCCCTGAGCCAAACAAGCAAACAGCATAGTGCTATTCTTTGTCTACTTCCTACAATTCTTGAATACCTCAAATAACTTAGCACATTTTTGTTACAAGTGAGTTATTAGTAATCATGGTTTATGGGAACAAGACACTTCGTTAAGAGGAATATCCAAACTTGCATGACAACATAGCTGAAGTGGTAGATGCCTTGAATTAAATGCAAAACCAACTGAAATGGTAAAAACAGTAAAGGCTTTGAGATACAAAGTCTTTGGCAGGTTTAAAGGGATACTCCACCCCAAAATGAAAATGTTGTCATTAATCACTTACCCCCATGTCGTTCCAAACTGGTAAAAGCTTTGTTCGTCTTCGGAACACAATTTAAAGAGAATATTATTCCATATTTTAATTTGAATTTCGTATTGAAATAAACATCGCCGTTAGAATATACGTAGTGAATCGTTAGCATAAGCACGGCTAATGCTAATATAATTAGCATTAGAATGAATTTTGTTCATTTTGTTCAAAATTATTTCTTTGTTAACTATTTAATGCTCCTATAACTTTTATTACTGTAAAAAACAGGAGGACATAATGGTATTTACTATTTTGCTAGGGGGTTACAAGGGTCCCCCCGGTGGAGCGGTCGGTTGCGATGCAGTTGTGTCCTAATACCACCTCCAACCGGCAGGGAGAACCGTGCCTCCCCTCCCGGGTCTGTAGGTACTCGACTGGCCAGCGATGCTTATACGACCTGTGGAGAAGCTGCCTCCGCCTTACATGCTACGGCGTGATTGCAAGTGCACCAGGCCAAGGCACTGAGGGACTTGCACGAGGGTGGTCATGACCCGGAAGTTCGCAGAGAACTCCGCACCGCGGCGGACCTCGCACTACGAGCGACGAAGGTTACGGTTATATATATATATAGTGGTTCAGTGCATCATATTGTGGTTTTTGAGTCACATATCCCATGATTTTTCGGATAAGCAAGAAAAAAATAAAATAAAACAAAAAGAACAACTTTATTCAACAATTTGTCTCCTCTGTGTCTCTCCGCATCACCGTAGCGCCATTTTGGAGAATAACCACTGAATGCAAGCAGCGTATGCTATTCTGTGTCAGCCGCGCTGCATGGATGCGCTGTTTTCGTTCAAATCAAAACGTAAATACACGTAGAAAACGTATCCTTGTGTCGCAGCTGACACAGAATAGCATACGCTGCTTGCGGTTTTTCTCCAAAATGGCGCTACGGTGATGCGGAGAGACACAGAGGAGACGAATTGTTGAATAAAGTCGTTATTTTTGTTTTCTTCGCGTACAAAAAGTATTCTCGTCGCTTCATAACGTTACGGTTGAACCACTGATGGCAGATGGACTATTCTGACGATGTCTTTCATACTTTTCTGGACCTTGACAGTGTAATTTACTTGACAGTCAATCGGACAGTCACAAGCCTCCCGGTTTTCATCCAAAATATCTTAAATTGTGTTCCGAAGACGAACGAAGCTTTTAGGGGTTTGGAACGACATGGGGGTAAGTGATTATTAACAAAATTTTCATTTTGGGGTGGAGTATCCCTTTAAGTCAAAACTTCCATATTAGAGCAGAAGGCAAATGGAAAAATACACATTAACAGGGTGTGATACATGTATAAAGCCATGCCTGTTAACTGACAGCACAGAAAATACAGTTACAGAAGTCTGCTTTTGGTTTTGACTGAAGTAAAACATCAAACTAAAAGACTTTACGTGACAAAACAAAGAAAACAACTACATTTACAAATCTTTTCATATATATCAACTGTATGTAACTAATTAGAAAGAGGGAATCCAAACTTTGCACAATTCTGTACAAACTGACAGAGCCCTGAGAGGCAAGCTGATTTTTTTTTTTTTTACCTTTAATGATTGAAAATGAACAGTACAGAAACAGCAATACATAGCTATATACACTTGATTAGAAACCACGTCTTACCTTGCTGGCCTTTATATGCATTTTGGCTTGGTCAATATCTCCTGCTTGTTTGGCCTTGAGGGCTGCCATCCTGTACTCCTTCTGTCGCTCCAACAGAATGTCTTTAGTGGGCTGTCCGGCTGGTGAGTGTGCTTTAGGAGCAGAGGAAACCACAATGTACCCTTTACAAAAACAGCTCTGTAGAATGTCATACTTCTAGTTAAATTAGCAAGTCAGGAACAACTTAAAGGGAAAAGCCCTCATTTTCAACATAATCAGGCATTGATGATCTATTGAATAAAAATAACAGATTTTGTTTATGTACATTTTGAATTATGACTACTACTATTATGGAAAATGAAAAAAAAAAAAAGATTGCTATGAAATGATATTATCAGTATAAATAAATGCATTTTAGGGTTAGACAGCATGGAATAATTTAGCAAATCAATACCCCACTCATAAATCAATACAACTGCTGTCAAATATTAATCACAGGATAGGGATCAAGTTTAAAATATTTACCAAAAGGACTATTAAAAATTCTTCTAGATTTTTAAAATGTTTTTAAAATAAGTATTTTTTGTTCATCAATGCTGGATTTATTAAAAAGTAATATTGTGAAATATTATTCCGATTTAAAATAATGTTCCAATGAGCTTCAGATTCCAAAGCAAGGAAATCTGATTTGTACAAAGGAGTTCCATGTAACAAATTTGCTTACATTTGATTACTGACCTAGAAATAGTGCTGAATTAAATTCTTCATTGTTTTATATAACTTTTCCATATTTTGAAATTTTTCCTAAAACATTTTTATTTCTTGGTTTAAATTAAAATAAATCCCATAAATTCAGACAAAAGCTAGACATTTTACCTTTCAACCATTAACTAGTAACCCTTAAAGGTCCACTGGAGTACTTTGAAATGCGCAGTGTTATTCTATGTGGTGACATAATTTCAACTGAAACAGGAAGACATATCGAGCAGTTCCACCCCCTTTTTTGGATAGCCAATAGTGTTTCGTTTATATCACAGCTCGGGTCAGAGCCATTGAGCTCAGTAAAGCCGCATTTGATAGCTCATGACATCCACAGCCTAATAGATTACTCCTTTAGATTCAGTATGAAACTATTACTAAAGCAAAACAGTGACATAATCATGCTGAGGATGTGTAGTTTGAAAACTATGTAATATATTTGTGAATGGCACCGGTGTTATCTCTCTAACAGTTTCTCCTCCTAATCTTATGAAATCTATATCAAATATAGCATTCTCTGTAGAATTCAAATGGATACGATACGTTTTATGGTCTGCGACGAGTCTAGTGCATATGATTTGCTCTTTGGTATTGTGTCTCTGGACCGTTACAGACTATGTGCGCTCTGTGGCTTTTCACGTGACACAACGTTAAACCAGACTTCATTCGCCCCAATGGAAAGCATATTTACACTGCCTGGATCGTTGCCCATCCTCTATATAATGCACTATGTGCCATTCACCATAAAGAAAATAGTAATGAGTGAATAAGTAACTGATTTCAGCCGCAGCTTCAGTGTCTATTTATAGTGTAGGGGATGGGATGCTTCAGATTCTAGAGAACATTTGATTGGACAGAAAATTTGATGAGAAGCTGAAGTGCAGGATGATGTAATCAAAATCGTTGATCCATATTGGCGGAAGTTTTGAACGCTTATATCTTCTGAATGCAAATTTTGTCATTATTTTGGAGCACACTAGCTTATAGATAACCTTAAGGCCAGCAGTCGTCCGCGAGGGGCTGCCGCTTTACTTTCATTTTGTGTTTGTTTATTTTATTCAAATGTTTAAATGTTCACCGGTTCCTGCCTCCTTCTTCCCGACCTACGAACGCTGTTACATTGGTGCCGAAACCCGGGAGGAAGAAGGGACACGCTGTCAGATAGCCCTCGCTGCTGAGGGGGATCGCGGTGCTGAGGAGATCGGGTAGCAGGAACAAGCGGAGAGACCGCCGGTGGCTGCCCGAGGCGGTGGTGTTGGAACGATGGAAGATGGGGTGGGACGGAGAGCTCGCTGCCGCGCTGTTTATTTTATTAAAGTGTTTAAATGTTCACCGGTTCCCGCCTCCTTCTTCCCGTGACTACGAACTTTGTTACACTAACATTTTCATATTAAAAGACAAAAAACTTCAATTTTGATTTTAATGGGGACTTTAAGCTGTGGTATGTTGCCACAAAAGCACTTGGCTAACCTAAGTGCAATACAGCGCCACTTGCTGCATGTTCCCCTTCTGGAGATGACAGGGAAGCTGGAGATGCTACACCAGAGGACTCGTCTTTAGTGTTTGATGCTGGATCCATGACAACAGAGACGGCCTCTGCAGAGATGGGAGAGATCTCAACAGCTCTGTCACACTCCCCGTGCTGATCAGGTGAAGCTGCAGGGACAGGGGGCCGACTGGGACTACCAGACACTCCACATGCAACTGGAGGGGGAATCTCTGTTTCGTCAATCTTCCCTCCTTTCCGTACTGATGCCAGCATAGTCTGTAGTGTCTAACCAAAAATATGAGAGTGTCAATTGTCATAAATTATCATAAAAAAATATGTACCCAAAGTTTGTTTGTTTGCTTAAACAGTGACACTATACCCACTCACCTTGAGGCCTCTCTCATATCTCCGAGCTTTAGAGGTTTCCCCTGCGGCTTTGGCATTGGTAACAGCCATCCTATACAGGTTTATTCTCTCCTCTAAAGTGTGCTCAATGCTACCAGGCACTGAAGAAACCTTAGTGTCCTGTGAGGGGAAAAAAACTAATTTAAGTGGTGGCACATTAGTTCTTACTCAAATGCCATTTCAAAATAGAGCTTGTTTATTGAGATGTGCAAATTAATAATCTATACATCACAAATGGAGTCAGGATAAAAGCTTTAACTAAGATTTTGAGAAAAACTGAACCTCAATTAAGATTTAATTAGAAATGGGTCAGGATGGTCAACAATTGGATTAGCTTTAATATTTTTAGCAGCAGTTTCTTTGTAGCTTTAAAAGCTGGTTTGGAGGAACCCACCTACTTTGAAAATAAGTTTTGTACATCTCAAGTTTAAGTGATTCCTGCTAAATGTTGTATAATTGTATCAACACTTCAAAGGTCATCACGGCTGCATTTATTTTATCAAAAATACAGCAAAAAATATGGGTTGATTTTTGCATTGGTCTTATCAAAAACATCAGACAGGCCGATTGAAAATACAAATTTATTCTGTGCCAGTAGGTGGCACTTTTGGAAAGGAAGTAATATATCAGTTTCCCCGGTAACGGTACACAAAGCAGCCCTGCCCCATAATGTCTACTTTGAAGCTTGTAGCTCATATTTATTATTGAATGAAATGCTTTTGAAGTTTAATCATCAAATTAAGCCATGTCCCGATTTGGTCCCAAAATGTAAGGCCTTTTGATATTATAATTAAGAATTTTCTTGCACCATTTAATGTATTCAAACTTTTTACAGCCTTAGATTTGATACAACTGAATTTAAGACTTTTTTAGGACTCGCAGAAACCCTGATATATTTTAAAAACTAACTTATTCCGGTGATGGCAAAGCTGAATTTTCAGCAGCCATTACTCCAGTTCTTAAGTATTCCATGATCCTTCAGAATCAATTATTGAAATATTTTGTAATTATTAGAAATATTTTGTAACATAATTGTCTTTACTGTCACGTCTGATAAATTTAATGGAGTGTTTAAATATATAATACACTAAAAATTAGAAATGAAATAAAGAAAAAAGATACAACAATATAAACAAAAAATAATAAAAATTTAAATGTATTGACCCCAAAACTATTGAATGGTGAAGTATAAGAGCTCAATCTATATACGAGCGATTCAGTGGTATTACCAACATGATAACCACATATAGAGCCAACATATCTTCAAAGAACAATTAAAATCTAACTTTGATATTACAACTAACACAACTGTATGAAGACAATATGATTATGCCTTCCCAGATAAACTTTTAGATCATACCTGGCTGGCTGCCGTCAATTCTGCTGAAGAGGTTTCCGCACTAATGGGGGAGGCGGGGGTTGTGGCACCTGAATCTTCTGTTTCCTCCTCATCAACCACTTCCTGCAGCTCAGCCTAACGAGAATCACAGCAAACACTATAAACTCACTATACTACATTCAGAAAGTGCTGACAGTGAAGAGAAACAGACAATAATCACAGGTTTAATTTACCAAGAGGTCTTCGTCATCCTCGAGACTATCATCTTCATCATCATCAATGTCTTTCATGCAGGCCTCCGCCATTTTTTCAATATCCTCCATCGGTAATGGAGCTTGAACATAAAAATTTCCAGTTCAAGTAAAATTTATTTAGAGACAGAGTACCGATAAGGTAGACGATAGAAATGCTACCCAATTGGTCAATGTTTGGCTGGTTAGCATAATCTAGCTACGCCCTACTAGTAGATGCTGTAATTACACAATTATCTAGCTACAAAAAATCTTTCTCTACTGATGGTCGTTCAAAAGTTGCCACGTACTTTATTCCCAATTCACAAATGTTTGATTGCATTGTAGCGTAGTATAATACATTATAGTATCTGACTGATTTTGGATTTCTATTTTAATATATTTTATTAAAACAAAATACTTGTTTAATAAAATGATTTATTGATGGCAAGGTTGAATTTTCAGCAGCCAATACTTAAGTTGTCAGTTTCATGATCCTTCAGAAATAATTCTATCAGGTTCATAATATGCTCCAAAAAAAGAAAAGAAAAAAAGAATGGGAATGCTAAACCTTGGCACTACCACAACATGTCTTATCTATGCACAATCAGCTTGTAACACTCCAAAGAGAAAGGAAAACTTGAAATCGCATCATATGACCCCTTTAAGAGTACATTAAAGAATACATTAGGTGACCTACCTTTTAAAGTTTGGCTGCAACAGATACGGTCTGCATTTATTATATGAATTTCAAAAGAAAAAAAAATGATAATCATGATGCCCACCTTTGCCAGCCTTTTCCCCCCTGGGAGCCACATTGGGTTTCTTCCCAACAATGGCAGCAAATTCAGCTTCTAAAGCTGGATCATCCAGATCTTGCTCCATGTCCATCATATCATCTGGCTTGAAATCAAGCAACAATCCCATCTACAAAGCAACAAACGCTTACATGTAAAGGTCCAATAGCTCAGTCACGAGATGGACAGATCATCAATGGATTCTAACTCAATGCAAGTCCAATGCAAACAACAGACATAATCCTTAAAGGGATAGTTCACCCATAAATGAAAACAGTCATCATTTTAGTAACTTACAATGACAGAATTTTCATTTTAATGGGAACATTACTAACAACATTCACAGCTGACAGTCATTTGCAAAACATTTCAACACTGACCTGTTTGGCTGCAGCTGCTCCTTGGCCTTTCAGCGCTGCAGCTCGCTTGTTTTTCTGAGCAAACATCCCGTCCTGCTCCCTCTCCTCAACCCTTTACCGGACAGACAAACACCTGGATGCTTGAGGTCAGAAGAACGTGACGTATGAATAAACGAGGAACACTCTTTCAGTCTTAAACTAATTTGTAATGCTTGCTGATATGAAATAGCAGCGTGAAGGTTTCTGATGGCGGAATGACAGTTTAGGTTTAAAGGAAGTTTATTAAAGCAGTGAATCTCAACCTTTTGGCGTACCGGACCCCAGTCCAATTCAGAACCATCCTCAAGGACCCCAGAACAAAATGGACTCATCTATGTATCATTTGTGTCTTTGTGAGGACCAAATGCAGTCAAGTATAATTCAAGTTAGTTGACTTGTCCAGTATTTGGCTGTATCATCGGCTATATTGGATGTTTCTTTCATGGAACATGTCATGTCAAAATATACAACATTTATACAAAAATTCATACTTTATACGGACCCCCTGGCCTTACACGTCAAGGACCACTAGGGGTCCACGGACCCCTGGTTGAGAAACACTGTATTAAAGCAAACGCCAGTCACATGTGCTGTTAACACGTGGGCTCTGCTGACTCACCCCGCTGATCCAGAAGAGCACTGTGGAGCAGTTTACTTTCTTTTCCTCGCCAACAGTATTAAACCCCACTCCACTTCCTCCTTCCTACCGTTCAAAGAGTTTCACAAACCTGACAGTTTATGTGATGCAAACACCCTGCGAGGCTTCGAAACAACATTATAACCACACACTCACGAAAACAGAAAATTGTATATAACGTTACCTGTCAACATAAAACTCAACATGTCAAGAGTAAAACTCGTAACGTTAGTAGTGTCCCATTCGTTAGATAAGACCTGGCATATTAAATGATAACCGTCTGACGTTCAAATAAATATTAATTTATTTACCCCTGTGAATTTCTAATGAAAACGCAGCTCAGAACACAGTGCTGCATATAACATTGGGTTTGTTTTGCTACTGCAACGAAAACGTCAAAGACAGGCCACGCCCAACAGTGGCAAACCGCCCCGCATCTGCAGCATTTTCAAAATAAAAGTGTTAATCTCTAAACGACAGAACGGGTTTCAAAATAAAAGTTTTAATCTCTAAACGACAGAACGGGTTTCAAAATAAAAGTTTTAATCTCTAAACGACAGAACGGGTTTCAAAATAAAAGTTTTAATCTCTAAACGACAGAACGGGTTTCAAAATAAAAATTTTAATCTCTAAACGACAGAACGGGTTTCAAAATAAACGTTTTAATCTCTAAACGACAGAACGGGTTTCAAAATAAAAGTATCTCTCACTGAAAATGGAAATTGTGACATCATTTCAAAACCGTATGGATTCAAATGTTAATGACAGCCACAGTCAAGAAACTGACGGCCACCATTCTCTGTATTCAAAGAAAATGCAATGAAAGCGAATGGTTGTATCATTTGATATCTTTGATATTTTCAGGCCAGACCTTGTGCAATACATAAATACTTACATTTTCCATATTCAAACATGTTTCCTTTACAAATCTATGCGTGCAATATTCAGTTCATTGTTTTTATATTTTCAACTTCAGGGATCTTATCTATTCACGAACAGCTTGTAACACTCCAAAGAGAAAGGAAAACTTGAAATCGCATCATATGACCCCTTTAACTTTTTAATCGTTTTTACTCATCTGCCCATTCCTGCGTATAACAACTATATGTACATTTACTATTTGTATTACTACGTTCTTATATTTTGTAAATATGTTATTGCTCCTATAATTCTGTCTAGCTGGTGTATTTGTTGTATTTCTGTGAGCACATGAAACGCTTACCAATTCAAATTCCTTATATATATGATTCCAATTGACAACTCAACCAGAATGCAACTTTCAGAAACATTATCCTATCGAATCTACGTTTTTACCCGAAATATATGAAAGATATTAAAAACTCAGATTAACAACGTGCACAGAAACGAGCCTAACAAAGGACTTCTAATATGTAATACTGTCAGGAAGTGCGCTGTGATGCGATTCACCAATCAGCGCGCAGCATTCTGCCCTGCTGCCTTGGTAACAGCGAAAACGTTTGTTTTTTGAATTCACCAATCACGACAGGCGATTCAGACATTTAAACTGGCGTTTATCCGTTGACCGTCTTCACCTGATCAGATGATAGTTGACTCTGCTTGTGGAAAGACGAAATACTCACGAAGCTTGTGTGTGAATAACAGCGCTTCATCTTTGGGGACAATTTTATTGTGCTTGGAAGGAAACGAATTTGTTGGATTTTTGGTAAGATGAAATATAAAATGTTTTTTTTTTTCGAGTCAGCTATGAAGTTATGAACACAACTGCAGTAATCAACATTGTATTTGGTTGCGTTTCATAACTGTTCATATATATATTTATACGTTTTTATGTTAAAGCTTATGGAAAGCATAACTTGCATAATATATATTTATTCACTTGGTATTATGTAGTTTTTAAACATTAAACGGCACTTCATAGTGCTTCACGTGCTCTATAGCCAGACTCTGTAACTTTGCTGTTATTTGTCCTTTTTCTCCTGCAGAGTGATCGTGGCTGCAGTAGTAATGTCTCATTTTGGGTTTGAGAATGACATCCACAACGTCCTCCGTCTGGACATGCCTATCACAAATGCCCCGATGGCGAGGTGGCAGAGAAAAGCCAGCACATCCAGCTCCACCAACACGAACTCCCTCTCGCCGAACAAGAGTGTCAACAGATCAGTGAGCCTTTCCAAAACCCCCAGTAAAACACCAGGTAAGTGTCACATGGGTCCTGCTCACTGTAGAGCCGGAGTGTCTTCAGTGTTACATATCTGATGTCTCCCAACAGGAAAGAACGGCAAAACCCAAAACACCCCCTCAAAGGCAGGAGGAGATCGATTCATCCCAACAAGGAATAACAAACAGTTGGATGTAGCAAGTTTTCTTATTTCCAAAGAGAACGAGCCAGTGGAAGAAACCGCATCCTCTACAGCAGTAAGTTACTTAATAATAATAATAGTAGTTGTTGTTGTAATAATAACTTGTAGTAGTAATTGTTTTTAAACTTTTCAAAACTTGTTTTTATAATAAATTTATAGTAGACGTAACTTTTTATAAGAATAATTTTAAGAGTCTGATGATGATGATGATACAATTATGAATCTCTCTTTTATTATCGTTATTACTATCAATCCATATGCCAGTTTCTAGATGTTTTCTGACTTTATAAATTATTGTCCTGCCAGCCAAATCAGAAAGCTTGGTCTGTGACACTAAATGGATATGACATTGATGAAGCAAAGATCCTACATTTAGGAGGAAAACCACTGAATGCCCCTGAAGGTATGTATGGTGTTTGTTGTTTTTATTTTAATTTACTGTTTTTCAGCATCATGTCTTTGTGCTTGAGTCCGGCCTGAGGACTTTGTCCACATCACAGGTAATGTTGTCTTTACCTGTGACAGAGGAAAAAACCCTCTGGTCTGACAGATCCAGCCTTGATAACACACTCTAAACCTTACTCTTTCGCTCCTCATCTACATGTACTCTTCCTCCTCTCCTTCTCAGATTGTTTCCATCTATTGTTCATATCATCATTCAGTCACCTGTGCCACTTGTGCACTCTGAACTGGCTCATAATTTGTACAGTTGGTTTGATCACATCATTAGAAACAAGTGTGAACAATTTTGAATCGTTGTGTGTAAACGATGACAACTGTGCTTTAGTTGTGTTTAACTTTTGCTGATTGTGTTTAGCATTTTGCAGCACAAATCCATCACAGTGTGATAAGTGTTTAAGTGAATGAGAATGTGTTTTAGGGCTGTCAAAATGGCTGAAAAACTAAATTCGAATTTTGTACTTAAATATTATCAATATTCGAGTTTAATATGCATAATTTCAGTTAGGGGGAAGAAAAGCATTTGGCTTCTCTCCTGAGGCCACAATAGGGCGCATCAAGCAAAACATAAGATAACATGACTATCTGTGAAAAAAGTGCATAATGTTTATAATCTAATTATAACCAAGTTGCTTAAACAACTATAAACAAAATGACATCATGTATGTATGCATAGTATAATACAAAGGGCTAAAAGCCAATCACACAGAGTATATTTTTCATTTAAAAACATGCATTTAATTTACATGGATTTCTAAACATGCCTCTCTTTTGTGCGAGACGCGAGTGCAACAGTGATTGTTGAAAATGCGAAATATGAGAATGCACGAAATATGCATTCTGTGTAAACGGCTTGGTTTCAGTTTTGACGTAAACAAGATCTTCTCTGCGTTGATATTCTCTTTTCACGCAATATTTGTAATTTAACATTGCAGCAGCGCCGCATCTAGTGGCTTCAACTGGATAGGCTAACAAAAACATTATAATGCAATGACACTTACATCGTTATCGCATCTCGTGCGCCACTGATAAGGCTGCCTCCTTAACGCACATTTAAAATTCGAATGCATCGTTTTTGCATTCGAATGTGGATTTTTATTTTAAATTTGACGAATATTCGAAATTCGAATTTTTTTTACCACCCTAATGTGTTTAGAGTTTTGCGAAAAGAGTGCATGAGATTTGCAAATAGAGCCTAACTGCCTGAACGCATTTAAGGTTTAGCAGAAAGAGTGCTTTATTCGACAAATTGGTTTAAGCTAGTGAGAATTTGGGTCAGAGATTGGGGTTTAGTGTTTTAGCAATTCAGAAAAACAGGTTTTTTTTTTTTTTTGGCTTCTTGATTTAACAAGTTTAATTTTGCCTGGTAAAGTTCTTCCACAAACGGGTCTCTTGAGTTAACCAAACAATATCTCCCACAGGTTATCAGAATAATTTAAAGGTTCTCTACAGTCAGGTGCCCACACCGGTCTCTATCAAGAAGAGCCGGTACATTTCCTCGGTTCCAGAGCGGATTCTAGATGCCCCTGATATCAAAAATGATTTCTGTGAGCTGATAATTTTTCATAAAAACAGATTTGAAGATTATTTCTATATGAGACTAATGTCAATTTCTGTTCAGATCTGAACCTGATGGATTGGGGAAGGCAGAACCTGTTGGCAGTTGGCCTTGCCGACCATGTGTATTTGTGGGATGCTGCTGCAGGGGACATAGTTTTATTAAAGAAAATGGAGGATGATAATGAGTTCATCTGCTCTGTCTCTTGGAGCAAAGATGGCAATTTCTTGGCCATTGGGACCAGTGATTGTAAAGTTGAGGTAAGTGGTTACATTTTCTCATACTGTGGTTCATTTATTTTTTTATTTTTTTGATTATTTTTATTATTTTTTTTGTTCTTGGACAAAGCCTTCCATTGTCCAAGACAATATTCAAAGGCATGCCAAAATGTAATGCTGTAATAACACATCTGCTTGTTTTCAGAACTTCACTCTTCAAACTCACAAATAGCCCTTTCTATCCAATGTATTATTTTAGAGCATCAAGATCTAATTGAATTGCCCTCTTGCTGAATTTCATGCCATTTTCTTGCAGCTCTGGGATGTTCAGTACCAAAAACGTCTCCGCAGCATGGATGGCCATTCGGCAAGGGTTGGTTGCTTGAGTTGGAATGATCACGTTTTGTCTAGGTAAGACCAGCACCTTGTGCTCTGCAGATTATATGCATTTGAGTGTTTTAACACCTTTTGTTTGTTCTCCTTAGTGGCTCCAGGTCTGGTTTGATTCATCAGCATGATGTCCGGGTAGCAGACCACCACATCTTCACCTTTGGTGGACACACTCAGGAAGTCTGTGGCCTTACCTGGTCCCCAGATGGGAAATATTTAGCTAGTGGTGGTAATGACAACATGGTGTACATTTGGCCAATGACAACTGGCTCAGAGTATCAAGCCATCCATGCTCTTAGTGAACACCAGGGAGCAGTCAAGGTGATTTTGAATTTGGCAAGATGTCTTCAGTTTCACCACTGGTCTTCCATTTGTGGTTTTAGTTCACCTTTTTGTCCTTTTTTTTTTTTTTTTTTTTTTGCTTCGCACACTTAAGGCTTTGGCATGGTGCCCTTGGCAGCCTAGCATCCTTGCGTCAGGAGGGGGCACCAGTGACCGTCACATTCGCATCTGGAATGCCAACAGCGGCTCTTGTATCAGTGCCCTAGATACTTGTTCACAGGTGGGCTCACTCACTGTTGGCTTGTGTGTTATAGTACACGTGACATCAGTAATTTGACAACTAAATGATCATTTCCTTTCAGGTATCATCTCTTGTTTTTGCACCGAACTACAAAGAGTTGGTGTCTGGTCACGGTTTTGCTCATGACAAGGTTATCATTTGGAAATACCCCTCACTCACTAAAGTTGCAGAGCTTGAAGGCAAGTTTGAGATCGTTGTGCTTCATAAAGTTTTGTGTGGTCACCCTTCCTTCAGTTGAATATTACAAGCACAATAAATTGAGAAATAAAATTAATTCCTCTCCTTTCCCAATCATCTGTCTCAGGACACGAAGACAGAGTCCTCAACTTGGCATTGTGGATTATTGTGATGTTTTTATCAGCCGTTTGAACTCTCATTCTGACAGCAACCATTCACTGAAGAGGTTTCATTGGTGAGCAAGTGAGGCTAAACTCATCTGTTCCGATGAAGAAACATCTCATCTACATCTTGAATGGCCTGAGGGTGAGTGAGTTTTCAGCAAATTTTCATTTTTGTGGGAAGTAATCCTTTAAATCACACAATTTAAAGGAGTTAACACTAACCAGTTGGATAGCAGTCATGTACTTTTTCCACCACAGATATTTCTGGAAGCGCGGCCCTGCAGCAGCCAGACCGTAGTAGGTGTACATGATGACATGGACACACGTGTTCACCATAGCATGAAAAGAACCCATGCCACCCGCTGTCAATTTGAACATGAAAATAAGCTGATAAATTGAGCAATTGAAACTGAACGTCTTTACACTAGTAAACACATTAACCTTCTTATTAACCTAAAAATCATTTATAGGAACAAATAAATGTCACCTAATTTCACAGTCTCCTAAAATCTCAGGCTTTTTTATGATACAATCTGGGTCTTGAAGCAAAACCAGTTAATAACTACTGAAACCAGTGACTGTTAGACATAACATGACATAGGCTCACCAGGAGTAAGAGTAACACCCCACCACCAGGTCCAGGGCAAGATGGAATGATGAAAGATATGCAGGAATGTCACCTGACTGTGCTTCTTTCTCAACACAAAAAACACCTGGATCACAGACACAGTTCTTGTTAACTCAGGAAACAAATCATCTTGTAGTTATTGAGGAAGCTACTGTAGTATAGTACTGTACAGTAGTATATTGTGCCTATGCGCTTTAAAAATGCACATTATCCTATTTCTATTACAGCACTGCAATACACAAATTTACAGCATGAAAATCATAGCATGAAGGCATAACAAATTATTCTTACCGTATCTAGAAGTTCAATATATTTGGAAAAATAGAACAACCAGGCAACCCGAACCATCTGAGGATACAAGGAGAAACACAATTAGTCACAATATACACTAGTGTTCAGAAGTTTAGGGTCGGTAAGATTTTTTAAAAAATGTTTTTGAAATATGTCTCTCTTATGCTCTGCAAGTCAGCATTTATTTGATCAAAAATACCCTAAAACCAGTAATGCTGTGAAATATTCGTACAATTTAAAATATATTTTTTATTTATTTAAATATATTTAAACATTTAATTTTCAGCAGCTATTATTCCAGTCTTCAGTGTCACATGATCCGAAATCATTCTAAAGCCAAGTTCACACTACAGGATTTTAAGCCCGATTTGCAAGTCAACAACGTCGCCTGTGATCAGGGGGGAAATCGGCAAGTGATCAGCACTCAGCAATCTTTATGTATGAACTACTCAACAATGCATCAAAGAGGCTCACGGACTAATATATCTGGACTGGCGGACTCGACATCACGTGGTGTCAGGTGTCGCGACGAGCTACAGCCAATGAGAGGCATGGGTTGAGGTCACCGGAAGAAAAACAGCAGCAGAAACATGGCTTTAAGAAAAGTTTGGACACAAGAAATGGAGCGAAAGTTTTCAGAACAGATCATCACGCAAACAGCTTGCAGCACTAATTTCTCCCCAACGTACATTTTCAAATAAACAACTCCTCATCACTTGTTATTTTGTGTCATTCCCATTCAACCTCTCGCATGTGTTTTCGTGACAAAAAGTGATTCAACGTGACTAATAAACACACGACTACGGCAATATACGGTTTATCTAAGTTCTTATTATTATAATTTTAATTTAAATAAAGTATATTTATAATGCAATGCCTTTATCACTGCTTAAATACTATGAAATATGTTGCGTGCCTTATTCTGTGTAAGAAGCCACATCATCTCACAGAAGGATTTATTTCAAACACTCGACTGACATTATGAAGTGAGTTTGGAGTAAAAATATGTTATTAAATGTGGTATTTTCACATGCTTTCAGATGGAGCAGCATTTACTTCACAGAGCCGTAGTTCACTGAGGCCGTAGTTCACTGAGAAGCTATGCAAACAGCTGTCATTATCGCGAACAATTTCTTCGATTTCATAATCGCGCAATAAAATCGTCTGCGATTTTTTTGCGTAACTTGTCAGTGAACTACGGCTATGTGTAGTAAATTCTGCTCCATCTGAAAGCACGTGATGATGATTTACTGCTGATTACAGAACCGGCTTTACTAACAAAATGCGCATGACAATCGCATTCGATTAATCGTGTTAAATAATCCGAATAATCCTATTATTATCAATGTTGAAAACAGTTTTGCTACTTAATATTTTCTGAGATTCACAGAAGAACGTGAAATAAACTTACTCTGAGAGCTTGAGGACTGCTGGAGGGGTCACAGAGGTCACATCTCCAAGTGTATGTTGTTGCCCAGCCAGACATCAGGAACTGCGTCAGGCAGATCAAAAAATTACATGGAAGTACAACAATATGGTAACATGGTCTTTTAAAATTGCCATTATTTACTCGCACATGTCTTTCAAACCTTTGACTTTCTTCTGTGGAACACAAAAGACATTTGTCAGAATGTTCACACTGATCATCTTCATATACTGAAAGTTAAAGGTGACCATAGGCTGTCCAGCTTCAAAAATGACAAAAGGCACCATAAAAGTATTATAAAAACGGTCTGTACGACTCAAGCTATGTTGTCCGTCAAGTCATCACAAAAGTCTACTTTTACGGTGACTATTTGTCATTTTTGGAGCTTGGAAGCTATGGTGACCATTCACTTTCATTATATGGAAGAGAGCAGTGTGAAGATTCTGCTAAATATCTCCTTCTGTGGTCAACAGAAGAATTACTATAAGGGTTATGTAATGAATGAGGGTGAGCACATTTTCACTTTTGAATCAACTGTATCTTTAATCCTCTAGTGGGTTTCCTCAAAAACATCAGTTCTGGTAAAGGTATGAGGTGCAATACCTTAAATTACTCTCTCAAACACACGTTCAAATAAATGAAAGATTATCCTACCTCATAAACAATGTAGGCGTTGAAGGCCACCATTGAGAAATTATAGACAATCATAGTTGTTTTGAGGCAGAAAGGTTTCCGATTGGCCATGCACCGTGGTCCCACATATAAAACGAAGATAACGTATCCCAGCAAGATGACTGTCATCTGAATAGGACTCTGCATCAGCGGATAATCCCGCACTCTGGCATCTGTGCAAATTACACATCAGCAACTCATCGGCCACATGAAACAAGCCTGTATTACATCCTTCTACAATAGAGTTTGCATTACCAGTGACCAAACTGTAGTGCTGTATACAATAAATGAGTGAAGTTACGACAAATCTTAAAGCTTAAATAGTTTTTTTATGTGCATAATAATTTAAATACGCCAGAGATATTGGTGGCATTTGTTCATCTAAAAAGCATGATGCAATAAACTCTTACCAGTTCTTTTCAGAAGGTAGTCATAGAACCTCAAGATGTTTGAAAGCACCTCTTGGAACATCTTGTCTTTATTTCTTCCGACAACCAATAAACTGGAGGACATGAATAAATGTGTTAAAACAAACTGAGCAGACAATAACACTCCACCTAGAAAAGGCTGGTCAGAGTAAAAAATGCCATTATCAGGAGGACAGTCAGAGTCAACAATGACAGCCCAGCCAAAGCAAACAGGAAACAGCTGGCCAAGTGAACCTGAGTGGTACATGATGTTACCAAAGCTGAACTACTGCTATTACACTCTCCGAAATAAACTGGTACAAAAGCGGTCACTGAGGTGGTACCTCTTAGATCTAAATAAGATACAAAAATCTACCTTTTGAAAGGATGCTGACCCAGTGACAGTTTTTGTACCACTTTTTCTGAGTGTACTACAATTTGTGTGTGGTTGGCATATGATGGTTGTTTTTAATCAGAAATTATAACCTAACTCTTGATATGGATGTATAAGAGAGAATAGTCCTGTAACTGGTCCATTTTGCCTTTACTAACTCATTTTAAATGGTCATGCAGTGATTTTTGCCTGTGCATAAATGTTGTCAAACTATATGAAACAGGACAGTGTGCTGGTTTCAGATACAGTTGCTGAAAACCAAAACATTCACCACCACCTTGTTTTGCTCTCTGTCAATGTTGAGAGAAGACTGAATGAACAGACTGTTTCTATACACTATAAAAAAATAAAGGTTACAAAAGGTGGCTGATTTCAGTGATCAGTTCTAAAAAGAACCAGAAGAGAGTGAAGAACATTTTAAACATCTAAAGGACCTTTTTTCTCTATAAAGAAACTTCTTTGCAATGGAAAGGTTCAATGGATGTTAAAGGCATATCATGGAACTGCATGTGCAAGTAAAGATCCTTTATTTTTATGAGTGTACACTCCTCAAAACACACATGGGATCCAACGGGGCAAACAGAACAGGACTGTAAAGGCTTAATGTCATTCTCCACAGCTGTTTGTATGTGGGTTGATGTTCGGCAGTAAAACAATGGACTATGCACACTAAACCGACCCTTCATTGCTTATCTGCCTATATACACATCTAATGCATCACCACCTGTGTCATCAGAAGATAACAGAACCACCATAAAAGCACAAGAAGAGGGAGACACACAATAGTTGTGCAAAAATCTTCCAAAATATGAGACAACTGTTGCTGTTCTCTGAAAGTTCAAGCTCATAGAATCATACAAATTTGCTTATAAGTGTTCTTAAAATCTTCAATATGGTATGAGCTCTGAATTCATACAAAATGATGACTAAAAAATCAAACAAAACACTCTAAACTCATTCAATGTGGTAAAGATAAAGCTCGATGTCATCTGTACTACCTGGTCTCCAATGAATGACTAATAGTGCAACAGTGCAAAGCCAGTCAAACTGGTGAGGTGGAGAAACGGAGATATTTATCCTGCCATAGAATCAGATTAACTCACTAGACGGGAACTGCTAATGACAACCATCATAAAAATAAATTACAGTCGATCATAAACAGAAAAAAAGAATCATAATCAGAAAGGACACAAAAAACGAAATCCTAAGCTGAATAGATCTAGTGTCTCATCACATTTCCCAGTCAGGAGAAAACGGACAAACTACTCCAACAAATAACTCATAAGGACGCAGTGAGGGATTCCCATTCATAATACAGCTTATTAAAAATACAAAAGTATATTTTGAGCTTACCTGTTGTCTTTCTGTTGATACGGTCACCACAGCCAAAAATAAATAAATAAATATATAAAAACAAACTAAAATAATACTGCCCCACAGGGGCAAATCAATGGTTGGGAGACCCAGGAAAGCAGTGGAAACGGTCTCTGAACTTTGGTTCTTCCCAGTGTCTTTATCCTTTCTTTCAGCGGCTTTCAATCACAGTTTTCACCAGTGACAGAATAAGGATGACTGTATTCCAGTGGGAGTTTCGCCAAGGCAGTGACAGGCCGCGCTCCCTGCCCAATATAAACCTGAGCAGCAGCTCATTCTAAAGAGACAACACCCGCCTGGTTTCAGGATTACAACCTGCATTCAGCTGATAGGAAACGCCCTCTAAACTCAATCATTGGCTTTTGAGATTGAGGCTGGTCGGTGATTGGCTCCGACACTGGTTAGGTTTTTATTATGCATTGGAAGTAGGCGAGAATGGAGCGGTGACTGTTCAACAATGAAAAGTCTTTTGTTTCCCTTGGGTTGCAACTATGGGCCTATCCAGTGAGAGTAAGACCAATACGCAAAGACTGGAAACAATGGAAAAATAGGTGATAAAATAATAATAATAATGATTTTAAAAATACACACAATACACAATTAACAATTATCCTAGGTTCATCATTATTTGGATATAAAGCAAATAAATAAAATAAATCATAATGTGTAGCGTAGCTGTTAAGCAGATTAGGGTTGTTTCAGTATTATTTATGTATTATAGTATTTATTAATCTTTTGAGTTGGCTTTTATTTTTAAATATTTAATTTTCATTGAAATTTTAGTTCAAATTGTAGTAATTTTGTTATGTTTTTGCATTTTTTTTATTAGTTTTATATTTCTGTGTAGCTTCATTTTTATTTTAGTAGCCTACTTCAACTGAAACTTTCAAATATTATTTTTTTCCCCATTGGGTTTTCATTGAATAATTTTATTTATTTCTATTATGAAACAAAATCTAATTTGAATTAACAATAACAACACTAAAGCTGATTTTTTCTTTTCTTTTTTCTTACATTATAGTCACTCTTTTCTACGAAAAAAGATCTCTAGTATATATTAAATCGGTTTACTTTCATGTGTCAAGATAGAACACTTATGGATAATCTGAGCCTCTATTCCAACTTCTAGCTAGATATGCTGTATCACAATGAAATGCGTTTTAAATCATAACTGCGACATTACAGACATATCAAACATGTGTAAGTCAGTGAGCCCTCTGACCTTGAGACACCATGTGGCACTTGTTCTATACAGGGACACTACCAGTCAGTTTCACTAGATTCCCGTAGCACTGGTCTGACCAGTTCCTCAGACGTTGAGGACAGGGCGTGGGATCCGTCAAACTGACGCACACTTGTAGCAGTCCAGGAGGACGTGAAGAATGACAAAAATCCTGACATGAGTGGGGAATCTCTGTGCTCGAGCCATTTTCTCACAAAAAGCAGTTTGTTAACTGACACACTGAGGGCCATGACACAACCCACTAAAAAAAGTTTGATTTAGTAAATCACATTTCACGTCTATAAAAATACATATTCTAACCGGTTAATCTCATCATTTATCATTTATGACTAAAATACACTGTTCTACAGCAAAAGCTCTCTATTGGTTAGCAGGTAGTTTCCAATATGACATATTCCACCAAGAAGTCCTGATATGGTTATGAAGAGTTTTGTGAAATTCCTGTGGTTGGGGACAGAGCCTTTTCAGATCAAGAGATGAGAAAAGACAGTACAGATAAACATCCATTTACATACCTTAACACCTCTCTGGGCATGTATAGAGACCTTTCCCAAACTATCCATAATAATAATAATAATACATAATACTTAGTTTAAATAAGATAAAGAGGTAAGTATATATATTTTACTTTTATTAGTCCCAACTCACTGTGCATGTCTAAAGGATATTGGATACAAAAAGCTAAAGGATAAAGGAAAAGCTAAAGGTCTAAAGGATATTGGTACAAAAAGCTAGTTTCAGCAATATTAACAATTAAAAAAAATTAAAAATAAATTGTAAATTTCTTTTTAAATAAAAAAAAAATAATAATAAGTTGGAGAATTTGATTAAACAAAAATGAATGAATGAATGAAAGAATCAATAAATCATCAATATTTTTGTAAATATTGTTAAAGTCTTTAAATTTTAAACGTAAATTTCTGCTAAAATTGAAATTGGTCACTTTTTATGAGTAGGATAAGCATTAGCTTCAAAGCTAATAGACATGAATCAAAAAAGCCACAAATCTCCAATTTTGATTTCACTGGGTCACAGGCTCATTCAACAGAAAAAGCATTTTACTTGGAGGACATACAACTACTGTAACTACAAGGTGATGTGCCAAAAAAAAGAAAAAAGTAATTAAATTAAATAAAAACATCAGCAGATAGCAGCCAGTTTGATTCAGTTATTAATAACCGCAGCTTTTAAGGGGCACATTTTTGACAGGCAACATCCCAGCATCCCATGTTCTAACCATTTTTATATAATCCAACATATATAACTATATTATTAAGATATATGCAACTTTACTTTTTTATGCCACACACTACTATTTAAAAGCTTGGGGTCGGTAAGATTTTTAAATGTTTTTGAGTCTCTTATGTTCAACAAGCCTGCATTTATTTGATTAAAAAAAATTATAATTTGAAATAACCTTCTACTTTAACATATTTTAAAATGTAATTTATTCTTGTGATGGCAAACCTGAACATCATTACTCCAGTCTTCAGTGTCACGTGATCCTTCAGAAATCACCCTAATATGCTGATTTGCTGCCTAAGAAAGGTTTTTTTTTTCAGGATATTCTGAAGAACAGCATTTATTTGAAATAGAAAACTTTTGTAACATTATAAATGTGTTAACTGACACTTTTTACCAATTTAATGCATCCTTGCTAAATAAAACTATGAATTACTTAAAAATATATATATCACTGACCCCCAACTTTTGAACGGTAGTGTGTTTTTCTTCTGACAGTTGTTCATAAAAGCTGCATATGTGTACAGAATTCAGAAGAATCATTAAGTTACAGGCCTGCCCAGGTGTGATTTTTTTTTTGTTGATTAGCCTATGTTATTAGTCACACTCCCTCGTGTTACATTCCTTACTGTTATCATCACTCTATTCTTCACACCTCACACCTGAGGATCATATGTAAACCTTTCCTTTACTACACTTCAAGCCAACACCTGACTGACCGAGATAAACGTGACTATGACGTTTTGCTATCAGCTGATGACCTCTGACCTTAACTACTCTTTCCTATCACTTCCCTTCAATTCCCAGAACTATTTATGTTTCAGCTGCAATAACCCAGCCCCTATGGACCACATCACATCAGAAGACCAGTCACAGCAGGTATGGTTATACCTTTGACTCAGGTAGACACCAAATGTTTACATAATTATGTAGTAGATGTATTGATAAATTACTACCACCCTATAGACACTCAAAATAGGTCAATTTTGTACTTTTAGCCAATTATGCGTGTTAGAAGAACAGTCCTCAACACACCTAATACAAAGGACAACAACACATCAAACTAAGGCAATTTTCAAATTGTAGGTCAAGCTGAACAGCTATAGTGACCTGGGAGAGTCTGAGAGCACAATTGGTCATGCGTGATTCAATTTAAACAATCAGCTGTTTCTCATTTCTCTCATTACTCTATTCAATAAACCTTTGCTTCTCGTTCCTGCCCTTGTGACCAAAAAATGAATTAATGTACCGTAATTTCGAATTTTGCTAAAATGGATGCATTTTTGGGACTCGAACTGATGACTAGACCTGAGCGGATGCTATCCAGAACTGTTATGAATTGCTGGTGAGACATTCTGAAACAGTGCTGATCTGCTGAGGGTCTGCATTCATATGCTAATACAGACGCATCAGCAGATTCTGAAAAGAAATGATGCTGGATTCCATTTAGTGTCAGTCTGGTTCAAAAGAAGACAGAGAGAAGTCCTTTAAATTGTTTTAGCTAACAGTCTGTCGAACGAGAGGGAATAGCCACTATCAAATGTAGTGAAACTGGCCTGTCGCTTTCGATTGGTGGTTTTAGGTTGTTGATGGTCACACATCAGCGTTACATCTTTTGATTATTTTGAAATAATTTCATACATAGACACTTGCAGTTCATTCAAATTTAAGGAGCTCAGTAAACACCTCTCAAATACTCCTTCACAGAAAATACATTTGGATAATAAATAACAGGGCATATCACAAACAGGTTAGATGCAGCGGCAACAATACTACAGCGAGAATCAAAGTTATGCCTTCTTTCTTTGCGTGAACATTTGGGCGGCGTTATGCAAATCTTTTTTTTTCAATTTTTTTTTTTTTCAAATTGCGTGTTAGAACGAGCCGTTTTAGGTAGGCGTGGCTGACTCTTAACTTTTATAAAGAATATCTCTTTGGATTTGAGACTTTAGTCTTTGCAACTTTACAGATCTTCTTTATGCACCAAGAGCTTGTAACACTCCAAAGAGAAAAGAAAAATTGAAATCGCATCATATGACCCCTTTAAATATTTGTTAAAAACGGATAACTAGGATATTTTATTACTCCCTTCTATTAAATACTTTTTAAATTAACTTTTCTTAAATACTATTATTTTTATTTGTGTATTTATTTATTTTGTGCACGTATCTGACATAACGTCTCAGTGGACTACAGTGGTTTTAGATTTTTTTTAGAAATCTAAAATTAAATACACTAAATATAGCAACCATTCAAACGTTTTGGGAGAGTAAGATTTTTCTTTTTTTGTTTTTGTTTTTGAAAGTAGTCTCTTGTTCACCAAGGCTGCATTAATTATATTTAAAAAATGCAGTAAATACAGTACTATTTTGAATTATTATAAATTACAGTAATATTTTTTTTATTCTGAATTATTACAATTTAAAATAACTGGTTTATATTTTAATACATTTTAAAATTGAATTTATTCCTGTGATGGCAAACCTGAATTTTCAGCAGTCATTAATCCATTTCTCCATTACTCCATTGTTACATGATCCTTCAGAAACCATTCTAATATGCCTAATAAATTAATGTTGTCTAAAAAACCCTCATGCAATTTACAGATTCTACTGCACGGCCTCAATTTTACAACACTTCACTTTATCTAAAATCTTTTATCTTCCTTTTTTTATCAGTTTTTGGGCATTTTTTTGACACTGATGTTGTTGGATGCACAACCAAATTAAAAAATATCACAACCAAAATGTGATAAAAATATCACCAATTGAAACTTCAGTAATACAACACCATGAATGAATAAGG